ATTATTTTGATGTTGCAAAAAAAATTTTTTTTAAACAATATTCAAAAATTGTCTGTCCAGGATTTTTTTAGGCAACCCATTTTTAATGTATTTTCTAATATACAAAATTCATGATATAATATGTTTCATTCTATTATCAGCTCGGTGAAGGTCGAGTTAGGTTCGGATCTTCTACTATATGATACTTTTTATAGCGGTCTCCAATAGGTGGGTAAACCTCTTCCTACAGAGCCGGCAAAGCATGAGTGACACCATTAGTTTTGCAAGTGTTCTTGGGCGGCAGTGACCACTTACCATCAGATGGACTGTCAGCTCGTTTGCTTGCACAAACATAAAAAAGATCTCATAGGTCTGATTTTTGAGTGTGTTATGCTCTTACGTTTTGGGGGCGGCGAGATCGAGATTAGTAATTAATGAATCTCTAAGCGGATGGCAGTTCCCTTCGGGGGAAATGCCTCTTCCGAGGCATTACTGACCCTGATACGATTTTTCCAGATGTTAAAAGTGACCGATGGTGAGATATCAAATCCGGCGATACTGCTGGAGGCAGGCATGTACGGACGCGAGTGGTTGGGAGTGTCTTCTCTGCTGTACTTCTTAGAGAATATAACAGCAAACTTTTCGGCGCAACCAAGACACATCAGGCACAAGGACTGGTGAGAAATTACGAAAACAACAAGTGATCCTAATAATCGGTTCGCAAATCTAAGGCGGGATACTGAGGAGAACCGGCATTAACTCGGCAAAGGCTGTTTTCTTGTTGATGCATCGCTTACACTTCACTGTCCATCCGTTCGTCCGTTTCCGAGCACCCATTTCGATTGAACCTTATTTCTTATGCTGCTACAACAACTAATAAAACATAGGGTTCCATAAAACCAACGTATTTGCAACCGGGTACTAAAAAGGAGGAGGTTCTTAATTCGACTGTATTGTTTTTTAATATTATTAAACTTGCACTGTTGCCGCCGAAGTGCCAAAATATCGGAAACTCGCTAAAACAAGGTACATGGTAACAATATAGATATATAATGTTTGACGACCTCCGTGGCCGAGTGGTTTGTATGCCGGGTTTCATGGTGTCGTCGACTCGAGAGGTCCCGGGTTCGAATCCTGGTGGGGCAGATGTTTGTGTGATGAATACGAGCATTTGTACTTCAGTCATGGATGTTTAATATGTATTTCTATATAAAATTATACTTATATATGTATAGTATATGTATTCTATTCATTACCCTAGTATCCCATAGCAGAAGCCTTACAGTGCTTACTTTGGAGGCTAATTGGTGTGAGTGTTAGAAATATTTATTTATATGTTATTAAAGGGATTGTTACCACGTACCTTGTTTTTAGCGAGTTTCCAATATTTCGGCACTGTTGCAAGCGCTATGATCACGGAGTAACTGAAGTAATTGCGGGTAGGCTGTTATTGGCAGACATATCGGTCTATCCTCCGACGAAGTCTTTTATTGCGTTCGATACCCGTACCGCTGTCCACATTCTCACTATTCACTCGAAACTGTTCCCGACACACAACAGTTACAGTATCGGATCGCGACACGACACTTTTTTGATTTTTCCGGTTTTTACACATACGAACCACAGGATTCCAGACACTCGACAATTTAAGCCCGTCCTCACGATTGAAATTTTTATGTTTTGTTATTTCAATCGCTTCCGTGATCTTGATATGTTGTGGCGTTCTGTCGAGATAATCTGTGGGTTATGGAACTCAATCCAGTGGTTAGGACCCGAATCAATCAAATGTTCCGCGATGGCTGATTTCTGCGTATCGTTGTTCTTGATTGCTTTAATGTGTTCTCTCATACGGCATGCTACCTGGGGTAACAATCCCGATAATAACATATATAACTATAATGTTTGTGACCATGAAATTTTAAAACAATATCGTCATCATCATCATCATTTCAGCCGTATGACGCCCACTGCTGAGCATAGGCCTCCCCCAAGGATCTCCACACCGATCGGTCCTGCACCACTCGCGTCCATCGGCTTCCCGCGACCTTCACAAGATCGTAGGGAACAGTTTCGAGTGAATAGTGAGAATGTGAACAGTGGTACGGGTAAAACAATATATATGGTAACAATTCCATAAATAACTTATATTACTATAATGTTAGTGACCATAAAAGTTTAAAACAATATATTATTAAACTTTTTGCGGTGGTACAGAATCCGTCGTGTTTAGTAAGTCTTATATTCTGCGGGCCATTCTTCCGCCTTACAGAAGACCACAGTTAAATAACACTACCTTTTAGGCAACGGCGCGAGTGTTATTTTTGATATCGCAAGCGTCTATAAGCTATGGTGACCGCTTACCATCAGGCGGGCCATAATGCTTGCTTGCCACCCTTTTAACATAAAAAAACCGGCTAAGTGCGAGTCGGACTCGCGCACCGAGGGTTCCGTACAAACCTGTAGGTATATATTAATAATTTTTAAAAAATATTTTTTATCATATGATGTAACTAAAAATTTACGGTTTTCACATTTTTTCCTTTATCTGTACTATAAGACGTTTATTAGTACCAAATTTCAAGATTCTAAGTTCACGAGAAGTACCCTGCAGGTTTTGATTCCCGTGCGAGTTTCGAAAATTTGCGGCATAAACGGCTGTATCTTTTGATTGCTTTGGCTTAGAAGGTTGATTTTTTCACAGCTCCAAGGGACAGTAGACCTGTGTATTAGATATGAATTTCAGTTTGATACCTCTACGCGTTCCTGAGAACGGATGGATGGACGGACAACAAAGTGATCATATAAGGGTTCCTTTTTTCCTTTTGAGGTACGGAACCCTAACAACACAGACAACCATGTCATTTTCATTTAACCACAAAAGAACAAAAACAGATCATACATTAAAATCCGAGGTATGTACGAGCATTCAAACATTTGTTGTTTTGTTTTGACAAATGACGTCTACCGTCTCCCAAATTAAGACGATAAGGAGACTGAGGTCCTAATGTATGTAAATGGCCAGAACAAAGGATAATACCCTAGTGGCCTTAGCGTATCACGGAACGGGTAATGGAACGAATATATCATAAGAGATGCGAGTACAAATTATAAATACATTTACAAAGGAACAATATCATCCCATTAAATGATATCTCAATTCGGTTTAGTCGATTGTAAATTGTTGTTCGGAATAATTTGTATTGGGTTATCATATCTGATCAGCCTATCGCTTGAAGCAAATTCCAAATTTACCCTTATCGTTTAGCTGTTAAAAGCAGTATGTTTTTTAATGTTTAGTCCAATTGTACAACTTATTAAATATAGAGCGACTTATGTGTTACAACTGAAACTCAATTTTTAATAACTCTAGGCTTAATTTTGCTTTTAGCAAGTGTTTGAAGTCGAAAATAAGTTCCCAATATTAACAAAGAATAAGGGCCATTTGGTTGCACCAAAATCAAATGATTAACGATAAAGTTTTGTCCTATAAATATCATGTTGTTTAAATGTATATTTGCTACTCATCTCTTTTTAAAGAAGATTTACACTACAAGGTACATTCGCAAATATCTTATATGATGCTTTTATATTCCCTATAAAGCTACAATCTTGAAGAATGCAGATAAACATTGATGGAATTCATCAGTTACGTATAGAAACACAACATTGTTAAAGATATACCTTATCAAGCTTACAACCTCATCATTCTTTCGTGTATCCGTTCGCAATGAAGCAGAACATGGCATGCCGTAAGACATGAATATAAATCGAAAATGTATGGAGCAGCAATCAGTCTGACCAAACAAACGGCGTTCATAAATAAATAATGTTTGCAGCCTACCCTTTGCAAACGATTTCACCCTTTTTACATGACTCGTCATAAAAGAAGTGTAATATGTTCAGATTCATGTATGTATGCAAGTGTTTCTTAATGGACTAGTTACAATGCATTTGACTAAATGTGTATGTAACCAGCTTCGTCGCGTAATTTCGAAAAGTTGCTTGTTAACTGAAGAATTCTACCCGGCTCTAGGCACTTCTTTTAGGTATGAGACACAATGGAGGTTTATTAAAGACACCGGCATTTGGGGTGGGTACAAAAGTACAAACCGTGCGCATCAACAAGCTTATAAGTCGCGACGCGAAACTCTAGAGCTGACCGTTATTGAGCAGAACTAAAAATTAAGAAGCCTTGGGGGGAAACGAGGTGCGCGGATGGGCGTGCGGCGCCGATTGGCTCCTCAGTCGTACCAGTTTTGTTTAGCGCTCGAGCTACGTGCCGCGACTTATAAGCGTCCTGTAGCTGCACAGGCCGTTGTAGAATCCGTGCCTAGACCCAGCGGATAATCGTTAACAAGCGCCCTAACACACGACTGCGCTGGATGAGCTAATTCAATTTCCAAGTGAGTTGCCAAACGGCGCAGTTCGGGCACTGCTGTCAAATTACAGTTGATTTTGGTAGCCACTCATCATCTTGCCGTTTAATCAAGTGGTTTGATCATATAGGTTTGATCATATAGGTTTGATCAAGCCAAACTGAGCGTGCGTGGGGAGACATTTTGGTAGGACAAGCCATTCTACAGAAGGATTTTGGTTTGATCAAGCCTATTTTAATTAATTTCGCAATTTTGAGCTGGTGCAAAGAAAGCTAAGTTACCCGTCCACTTCTAAATGCCATAAAATATTTTAATGTCTTATTTTTTTAAATCATTAGCAGGATTTTATTTAGATCTGCACTCTTGTGGTCGCCACCTTTTTATTTTATTCTTATATTTTTTATTCATTTATATAGGTTTTCGCTCCAATTGCTTACCCACCACTTACAGCTAATATAATTATAATTCTTGGTTTTGCAAACTAAGAGGCTTCATTCTAGCTTCCATAAACCCGACAGCATTATATTCTCCATAGAGAATGAAAGATTCAAAAGGGGATACTAAAAGTAGGGGTATCTTAGCACTGATAATAATATTTCAGTCTTAGACTACTACGGTTGTTAACGCTAAATTGTTATATTGTATATGTCATGGTTCAGAAATAAAGATTATTATTATTATTATTTCAGGTACATTATTCCTGTTTCGAACCCGGATGGATACGAGTACAGTATAAATAAGAATAGACTGTGGAGGAAGAATAGAAGGAGATTCAGTGGACCTTGCGATGGAGTCGACATCAACAGAAACTTTGAGTAAATACCAATGATATTAAATAAAAGCAGATACGTCATAAGCGCGCACGCTGTGAAGACTCGAAAACAAGCCAATTGGAGAGTTTATCATTGCATATCATTGGAGCGTAACATTTGCAGTTGGAACAGATTTAAAACGCAATTACTATGCAAGTTATATATATCTTTAGACATAATATATCATTAGTAAATATCCAGTTATTTATGTTTCCTAAAGACTGAATAACTTGGATGTGTGAAAGAACGTCAATCATTACATAGTTACAAGTGGCACTTATTATGTGATATGTATTTAGTGATATTAATAATTCTAAAACATTAGCCAGTTATTTCATGGCCAAAACGTTTCAGTAAAAGGAAAGGAGAGGAAATCACAAAAAACTGAGGCAACAGCCCCGATGTTATGAAATATTTCATTTTTCAGTTCATATTGGAGCTTCAAAGGCGCATCGTCCGACATATGCGCACATGATTATTTCGGACTGCATGCCTTCTCTGAACAAGAATCTATAGCAATCAGAGTGAGTATTATGTAACTTACTGATTAAGTGTTAAATTTTAATAATAACAAAGTAGGGTCAAGTGACAGTGCTTTTCTTATTAATCTTTGGTCTATCTATATACAATGATGCACGAGTCTGTAGATACGATGGTTATTTCCTTAAATAATGTTAGAGTCTGTGCGGAAAGAAAATGGGATTTAGATTGGAGGGCGCTGTAGTGCTTTTCTACCGTATTTGTAAGGTTTTACCCCTTCTAGACATGATTAAATACAAAAAACCGCAATAAATCACAACAACAAACAAATCCGTATCAATACAAAACTTGACGTTTTACAGATTGCTGGGTTTGATTGCTTAATAAAAATCTTAATGTTAGTTCCGTTTTTCGCCACGCCCATTCTCTTTCCGCACAGACTCTATTTGGTTACGAGCACATTTGCTTACAATTAAAAAATACACTAGCTTAAATGCCTTGGGCAGAAACATAATGTTGGTTTTAGCCATAAAAGTTTTCATCTTAAATTCACGAGTAGCAAGGGTCATATCACATTTCTCGCTGGAAAGTTCGTCCAGGCCGCTCCAAATGTTGGGTAAAAAGTTTATATTATAGCCCCGAGCTTCATTTTCATTCCCAACTGAATTAGCGTTGATAATGCGTTGAGTATTCATACTATTTTTAACTTTGAATTCGAGCTACTTCGTGACGTCACAACTTTATCCTGTTATTGAGCTTATTTTTATCATCATCATCAACAGTTTATTAATGTGAAAATCTCGAAGTCGGTTCACGTGAAATCGAAATATCGAAAGCGTACTCGAAAACTATTGTAGGTGATGGGATGGCGATCTGTCCATAAGTAGGTGTCATAATTTGGTAGACTAATACGACCTCGGTGGCCGAGTGGTTTGTACGCCGGATTTCATGGTGTCGCCGACTCGAGAGGTCTAAGGTTCAAATCCCGGTGGGGGCAAATCTTTGTGTGATGAATACGAGCATTTGTACTCCAGTCATGGATGTTTAATATGTATTTCTATATAACTATACTTATATATGTACAGTATATGAATTCTGTCCGTTACCTTAGTATCCCATAACACAAGCTTTATAGTGCTTACTTTGGAACTAGGCTAATTGAAGTGTGTTGGTTTAAAAAAAAACTCAGACATTCATTGCCAATGAATGTATATAGTATACCAAGCAAAGCTCCTTATACTGTTAGTCTGATATAATTATATCTAAGTTTATTGGTTACCTAACTATCGATTTTACGACTCAGTAACTAACGTTTGCCCTTGACTTGATAGGGAGAGAAATTACTAAGACGCCAATTAATAAACATATCGATTTCAGAAATACAAAGCCTTCATTAGGTTACAGTTCAATTACAAATATGACGCTATTCATAATAGAGTAATTAATATTGAATGGTAGGTATATTGTTATATTATTCATTGATATTGAGCTGTACCAGCTCCTACTTATTTTATACACAAGCGACCGCCTTCGACTTCGTCCGAGTTAACTTGAGATTTATTTCGGGATTTCGACACATCGATTCGATACTTTTTCGAGATAAACAGTATCCTATGTCATTTCAACAGATGGAAAAAAGCGAAAGAGGTTATTAACTCGATACATTTTTTGTATGATCACGCATAACTTTTTACATGACAGTCTGATTTTGATAATTCTTTTTTTATTTGAAAAGGTAATACCCTGAAGTTGGTCTCATATTCATTTGGAAAAAAGCCAATTTTTTTAATTCTTTTCTACGTCTGCTCCCCATCATGTGGAGCATCGTTGAATAGGTCCTCTTAAACGACTAATTGGTTGCTAATACTATTGCAATATGATTTAGGGATCCGTTTGTGAAATATTAAACCTTATGCCAAATTATGACTGTAAAGAAGACGAGGAAAAGTTGTTTTGATTATTGCAAGATGTCAATCAGAAGTTTCGATGAACTAGAAGCAAGGTTACATGATACTTTGAAACATTCCAATATATTTCGAGTTTCTGTTCAACCTATTGAAACAAAGACGGACGAAGCCGCACTTCAGTAATAAGGGCTCTGTATCAATATTCATTTTTGCTTTGAGTGTACGTACGCGCGTGTGGTCGGTCGCTCCGTCAGTGAAGCACTGAACGCATCCATACAATCTCATAGCTCATCGGTCGACTGACGTACGCGCGACCGATGCATGGGCCGAGCGACGACGGCTCGACCGACTGTACGCGCGTACCAAATCACGCGCGTACCATCAGCGTAGCTGTGTGCGCATTCATAGACTTTCATAGATACAGCTACGCCGACCGAAGGTCAGCGCTGACCGTCGATCGAGCACTGTTTCCAGCCTTAGGGTGGGAATAAGTACAGTGCGATGCGTACTTGCGAGCGGTCGTGCGCCACTGTACAGTAAGAGTTTAATAATTCGCGCTCCACGCGGCAACAGCCGTCGTGAGTCGGTAGCAATGAGTTCCGATCAACTCATAGCTAACGAGTTGTTAGCGTTTATACAATACGCCATTGACACCATGGACGAGGTCAGCATCCTACAGATCTGTAAGTCCAACTTCAAGGAGGATGAGGTTTGTAGTGGCAAGGCGCTGCTGTTCCGGTCTGTCGGCAAGGCCGACAAGATGCCATCTCGACGGAGGGATGGAACAGAGAAGAGTGTGCAGGATATAAACATTCTGCTAAAGGAGACGGATCCGGACGACGTGCCTACATTCGTGGTGAAGGAGCTACACAAGCTGCCCCCGGTCACGTTCGACCACGTCGATGTCACCAGACTGCTGAAGGACATCAACTTCCTGAAAGCTAGCCTGGCCGATGTAGTGAGCAAGTTGGAGGACGCGAATAACACCATCGGTGAGTTGCGAGCTCAGGTAGACTTATTAAGTAACAATGTCGATCATATAAGTAATATAATCAGGTAGACTTATTAAGTAACAATGTCGATCATATAAAATATAAGTAACAATCTCGATCGATCGATCGTACTAGCGTACAGACGTGCTCATCGCGCTTATAAAATAAATTAACAGTTAAATAATAGTGACCTAGTTTAAATAGTGATTAAGCGTATTATGCGGTTACGCTCAGTGAGTGACAATTATACGTGCATGAATTATAATAATGGACATAAATATTTAGTGTAAGTTCTTTTTCATTAATTATGTCAAGTGAGAGCCCCTTCAATCGAAGCGGCATTACTCGCCGCACTCCTCCCCCAACGACGCCCAGCCATCCAGCTCAAGACCAGGATGATATGGATACCTTAAAAAAAGTATCTACTCCGGAAATACAAAACTGGCTTACCTCAATTGAGCAATATTTACAAGAAGTATGTACCATATCGAATGAGGGAAAACTGGTATCTGACCACAAACTTAGGATTAATAATCTCTGCCGAAAAGTTGGACATGGAGTTGCGCAAATGGCTGTTCGATATCAGTCTTTAAAGCAAAAGGCGTTCTCAAACTCACTCTAATTTGCAAATTTTAAAGGAAAACCATGACCTCTCAGCTTGTCTTACTGATTTTAAAAAGACTATACAGGAATCCTGCACTAAATCTGCTACAACAAACACGTCTTTTGCAGACATGGTAAAAAAGGGATCCAACAACTTTATGCCACTGCCGGAACTAGGTACATTAATACTATTGTTTATGAAGGCGCCTAGAGCGCCACTTACTTGTTATAATTAGAACTTTACTATGGACATTAATATAATAAATGAAATAGATGATCTATCTATGTCTAATTCATGTTTATGTGAAGTCGAACAGTGTAGACAATATCTGACCGCTTATCAAAACTCATTAACTGTACTCACCCAAAATATACGTAGTATTTATAAAAATATTGATAATTTTGATATTTTCCTCCATAGGCTTAACTTTGTTTGTGATGTAATTATACTAACCGAGTGCTGGTTAACAAAACGGAACGGCAACCTACCAACAAGGTCTGGTTATAACTTATTTTATAGTCAAAATAATCACAACCAAAATGATGGAATAGTTATTTATGTTAGAGACTCCTTGCAAGTCACCCTCGAGGAACCAGCTCTTCAAGGTAGTAGTTGTTTGTTGGTACATATTAACCAAGATACAGTTATTGTCGCAATGTGGATCTATCCCCATCTGTCACAAACATAGATAATTTCAACGGAAACTTAGATCAAATACTTCAATCATTAACATCTTTTAAAAATGTAATAATTACGGGTGATATTAACATAAACATTATACCCGACATACATGATGCTGGAACCCAAGATTATCTCAATCTATGTTCGTACCATGGTTTTTACCAACACATCAGAGTGGATCTTGTCTCGACCATATGATGATAAAATATAGGTCAACATATCTAACACTTGTCACAAAAACGCCGCTTACCGATCATTCCGCTGTCTTACTAACCTTAAATTTATCGCTGCCTAAACTGAATCATAAACAAGTAAAATCTAAGCTAAACATAAAGAAACTCGAACACGATTTATGCAAGCTTGACTTTGCCCCAGTTTTTCAATCGACGGACGCGAATGCATCTTTGTTGTATTTAATTAATAATGTTGAACAAGCTATATTACATAATACGTCTGTAGTTGCTTCAAATAAACAATATCAAAATATCAAACCTTGGATAACCCCGGGTATTATTCGATGTATAAGACACAGGGATAAACTTCATATGAGGACAAAAAAATATCCCGATAACCTCACATTGCTAGTTATCTATAGGAGATACAGGAATTTCGTTAGATAGATAGATAACACTTTATTGTGCACACCATATTAAATATTACACACTAGGACAAAACTTAAATAGTGAACAATTGGCGGTCTTATCGCTATATAGCAATTTCTGCCAGACAACCATAGGATGGAGAGATGAAATTTAATAAAAGAGGGGGTGTGCTAATATAACAAATAAAAATAATTACAATAAAAGGTTCAGGATTAAACATACTAATAAATATCTACTATGCAAGTATACAAATATTAAATGAATGAGTAGAGAGACATAAACATACATACACACATACAGTTGGAACAACACAAACAACTACTTTGAAAGGAAAAAATCTTTAATCTGCTTTTTAAATAAACCAATCGTCTGGGCACGTCTGATGTTAACGGGGAGAGAGTTCCAGAGGCGCACAGCTTGAACACAAAAATAATATTTATAAAAGGTAGTATCATGTGATGGAGTTTTAAGGCTCAAATTCTCTGATGAGCGTAGAGACTGAGAGTGGGAGCAGTGGAGAAAACTGAAAAGCTCTTTAAGATAATTGGGATAAGAGGGATTAAACAACACATTGTAAAGAAGGGAAAGTATATGAGTATCCCGGCGAATCTTTAATAATCTTTTGAAAAAAATTAAAAGCAAATTATGAAAAAAATGAACTACTCAAAGCAGGCAAGGATAGCAAACGCCTTTGGAGACATATTAAAAATTTTACCTACACTTCAAAAAGGCACAAATCGTGTTCGAGTTTACTATTAACCCATCTTTCACCGCTTATATCAGCCAATTATGTAAATAACTATTTTATTAATATGGGAAAAGACCTTGCAGAACGCCACCAACCTCTAAATCTATTTTCTCAGTCACTTAACGCTACCACTAGTAGGAATAGTTTTGTTATGTTAGATACCGACCAACAAGAAATTTTACAAATAATTACAAATTTGAAAGATGATAGTGCAGTCGGATTTGATAACATTAGCAATAAAATCCTCAAAACTTTTAAGCATATTTTAATACCACCGTTAACACGCATTTTTCAAATCTGCCTCTCCAGGGTATTTTTCCACAATGTTTAAAAAAAGCAGTAGTTACTCCTGTCTATAAATCTGGATGTAAAGATCAAGTAAATAACTATAGACCAATATCAGTGCTTCCATCCTTATCAAAACTATTAGAAAAAATTATTAACAAAAGGCTTATTGACTACCTGGAAAAAAATAACTATTTGTCACCTACGCAATTTGGTTTTCGGGCAAAGTTGTCAACAGCAGATGCGGTGCATAACCTGACTAACTATATTACTCAGGAACTAGGCAAAGGAAAGCATACTCTAGCTGTTTTTCTTGATTTAGCAAAAGCGTTCGATACCGTTTCAATTCCGAAGCTTCTAAAAAAGTTGGAAGCATTGGGTATTAGAGGAACGCAGTTAATACTATTTGCAGATTATTTAGACAATCGATCTCAATGCGTTAAAATAGGAAATATTAAAAGTGATTACCAGAAAATGACCTGCTATGGTATTCCCCAGGAAAGTATAATCGGCCCTACCCTTTTCCTCGTTTACATCAATGATTTATATAACCTTAATTTAAAATGTGGTAAAATTATATCTTACGCCGATGATACGGCCTTGATTTTTAGCGCCAATAGTAGGTCAGAATTATATGAGGTAGCTCAACTTGGTCTTAATGGTGTAAATAACTGGCTTCGCTGCAATTTACTAACACTGAATACTGACAAAACCAATTATATTCACTTTTCTATGCGCCAGCCTTGTCATGGGTTTACAAATCCTAACTTATACGCACACCAATGCCAATATCCTTCAGTCAATAAATGCGATTGCCCTTCAATACAGAACACATCCCATATAAAATATCTTGGTATCTTAATTAACGACACATTATCTTTTAGACAGCATATTGCAAATCTAGTAGTCAGGATCCGTAAATTAATGTATATTTTAAAAAAATTACGTACCATTGCAGGTCCAAAACTAATTAAACAGGTATATCAGGCCTTATGCCAATCAGTAATTCAATATTGTATAACTTCATGGGGTGGAGCTCTCAAAACTATTTTAATCCCTCTCGAGCGTCTGTGTGGTGCCGCCCCGACCGGACCGAACCATCTGCTGCGTCCTGCAATACCGACGACGCCGCTGTACGTGTCCCGACTGCATTACTCTACGAAGGAAGAGGAGATCGTCGAGTACCTGCGGATTAAGACCAAATTCACCCTCAGAGTCGCACGGTTGGAGTCCCGTCACAATGTGAATTTAATTTCTTTGTGGTGCGGGTGCCAACCGAACATCTGGCGACGTTCATGAAGGAAGATTTTTGGCCGAAAGGTATTGTGTTCCGGCGGTTCCGAGGCCGGCTACCTGACACCACTCTGCGTCACACGTCGCCTTCTATACGTGTAAATTAGGTTTCTACTAACATAGTTATAATTATTTTTTAATTACTAACATTTAATGTATTACCTATATCTTATTTATGTTAGACTCTAAGGTATTTATCTATGGGCCTACGTTGCCTGATTATAAACAAATAAATAAATAAAAATAAATAAAATAAATAGGTGTGATTGTTCAATCACAGATTTTGATGCCGTGTTCTATAGTACAAAATTTAAAGCTACAAAAAATATAAAATAAAATCTATTAAGCAAATAAATGCAACCGCTGAAAAAACTGAAATGCAGCAAATATTAAACCTTGTTTATCTTTAGCCAAATTAATATCTGAACTCAGTGGCATGGATGTCTGATAGATTCGCGTTCCCATTAACTACTTGGGTTGGCATGGAACCGACTCCAAATATTTATTTGGCTAAAGATAAAAAAGGTTTATTTTCAGTTTTTCGGTGGTTTAATTTATTTGCTAAAACGTTTTTTCCTAGTTTATAAGCTGTCTGTGTGTCATTCAAATCCATTCAGCCGTTTTTGCGTGATTGAGTAACAAATATACAAACACACACACACGCGTACGAAAGGAGATTTAAGGGATACGGTAATTCTTGGCGTAATTTATACTTTATTTTACAGGCATTAATTTTTTAATTTTTAACCTTTGTATAAAATGTTCATTTTAAAAAGGTCTTTTAATTTTACCGGTTTGGAAAACATACGAATCATTTTTAATGGCTTTGGGTGTAGAAACATTTAGCCAAAGACTGATCGATGTTATTTATATAACATCAAAACAAATCTATTTTGTAAAGATCGATCAAATAAATTTCTTTTTTACACTGTGGTATTAATATCCACAACTTTATTATCATTTTCACTACATGCAAATGTGCTATCAAATATTATAGATGCGAGGCGACATCATAGTCTATTGCCATACATTTTTCGCCAAACACCTTCATAAACACATTATAAGGTGTGATACACTAAAAATCTAAAATATGGTTATAATATAAAAATTACAAAAATAATGAAGCTACTGAAGATATGGCTGTATAACCTAAATCTCTTAGTTTTTTTTGGTTAACGAGAGTTTAAAAAATCTCTCTAATCTGTGGCCTATTCACAATCATCACACCAAGGAACTTGTTTGCATCACACAGTTTCATGTAACAGAGTACCTCATTATAATCGGAAATACATAGATGATACCTGACTTTAAAAGTTACTCTTGTGCATTAACTTTAAAAACAGACAACTATCTGTTAATCTACGTGCTCTATGACTGACCTGAATTTAATACATAATTTCGATACTTGGCTTGATTTCCCTAGTTTACCATATTTAACATATTTGTTTTTTATTATTTTAATACCTATGTACCTATTTGTAAACATAACTCAAAATCATTCAATGTTTAAAGAAGTTTTCAGGGGTGTACAGTAGGCATGCGTCCGATATATCAAAACGAATCCAAAATCCGATTTCAAACACAAATCGATACCGAACGATTTCTCAACAAGAAAATCCGATTTCAGAAATCTAACCGAACCAAAACGTTAGCGATCTAATACCACCACAAGTATCCAAATGTAAATCGGATTCGAAATTCGTGCTTTCGTTTTCGGAAGTCAGATTTCGTGCTCGGAAGTCCGATTTCGGTTTGCTGTTTACGGAAATCTATTGTTCTTCTCTAAGGCGGGATTATTTATTACTGAAAAAAGATGTCTAAAAACATCAAAAGTCGAGCAACTGACATTTTTTTGAACGCTAACCTGAAGTAATTAGGTTTGATTTTGTAAATGGTTTGAAAAATAATAAAAACAAACAGAAAAACCAAAAAAATTACTAAAAAAATATGTAAAAAGAAATCATTTAACATAAGCCGATTTTTAAATGCGCCGCAAAAGTTTTACTCTTAACGGTAAAGATAACTTTTCTGCTAGTCCTAAGCCACAGAATATATACTCTTGCCTAAGCCTAGATTTAAAGCATAAAGGAAAATCGCGCAAATCTACGAGTATCCTTGCTTCGTACAATTAATTGTTTGTGATTGTCGTTAGCTAATAAAACCAAATCATATCACAAACTAGTGAATTGGCTCAGTTCGGCACATCTGAAATCGGATATCTAAAAACGGATTTTAAAATCGATTTTGAAATCTGAAATCCGATAAATATCCGTTTGCGTTCAAAACCAAAAACGCCCATGTCTAGTGTACAGTAATTTATATATAATTTCTAATCTAGGAAACAATGTTCGACTTTATCTATCTAGTTTTGACAAAACTCGAGATGAATATCTCTATTTTTGATTCACTCGTCTTGCGTCGACCGCTCAATTTCTGCTAATTTTCATTCGACATAATAAATTCCGTGTTTTTTAATCGTTCGACTGCTTGGCGAATGGTGGCAGCGAATGGTTGAGTAATTGGATAGGATACTTGTATGGAATAGGGTGATATAGAGACAGATAGGTGTTGGCACTGGGCCCAATACGTACTGGGTCGCACCACATGTGCAGCGAATCCGTATTCGACAATACCACTAAATATTATGTCCCTACGCTACCACAGGATTACTACATACGGTATTGCAAATTCACAAGCGTCGCTTAGCTATGGCGGCCGCTCAACATTATGCTACCTAATTGAAAGTCGATTTCTTTCAGGACTTGCTGCAGGGAACCCATTTCACCGGTTTCGTGTCTATCCATGGATTCGGCTCCGGAGTATATTTTCCTTGGATGGCGACTGGTAGGAAAACTACAGATTATAAAATGCATTCTCACGTCAGCAAAGAAGTTAAAAAGGTGGGGTTCCATACAATATTTGTAAATTTTGTGTACCTGCTTACACTGTTGAAGTATTGTATGTACATAGTAAATATTACTATAATATTTTATGTATACATTATATGTATATTGATATGAAAGCTAAATGTGTGCTCCGATTCGTGTGAAAAATAGCTGTACTTAGCTTTCTCTTTTAGTTTTAATCTACTTCCACACTCAATCAGTAATCTTTTGAGCTTTTGTTATTATTTTTTTTTATTTGTTACCTCTTCATTTTCAAGGCTTGATATTTTCAACTTACCCACCTATTTAACTATTGTATTTTTCGCAAATAAAAGCCCTGTCGCGCTTAGATTAGTTATTCCTTATTCAAGTTTTCCTTCAGTACGGAATGTTTCTTATCTTTGATAGACACTTTTAGTTGAGTCAATGAAGCTTTTTACCTGGAAACCCGGTGGAACAGCTTCGATTTTGATGATTTTTTTCTCAAAAAATTGGTTTTTTTATATTATTTGAAATCAGAAACCTCTGGAGAGGGGGAAATATTTTTTAATATTGTTTAAACAATTTTTATGACATTTTTGGAAAAAAAAAATCTTATAAAATATCAATTGAAAACTCACAAAAAAAATATGTTTATATTATTGTTTTCGTATTGTTATCACAAATAATTTTAATTTACATGTTATTTTATCAAAAACTTTTAAAAACAATTAATTATAAGATCTTTCATCTAATATAATGACATGAAGCTGATATACATAAAAAAGTTAGCATATATTTCATGAAATATAAGAAATTAATAGTTTCATTATTAACATAAATAAAAAAATATATAATATATATATATATGTATACATATATTGGATCAGAGGCCGCGCTCTTGTGTGGCCAGGAACTTATAAAGGGCTCCCGTAGCTACTGGCGTTAGGCCAAGGCCGTGCAAAAAAACTTCTGCCAGCCCTCGCTGCCACCTCTGAGATGCCCAGACGGAACACTAGCTCATAAGCCGCAGGAGAAAGCCGATTTACTGGCAAAACTCTTTGCGGCTAAGTCCCAAATCGATGATTGCAATGCACTACCACTATCATTACCTCACTGTGGCACAACGATGCCTGATATTAAAATCAGGCAGCGTGAGGTTCGTGCCGAATTGCAATCACTCGACGTCCGGAAAGCTAGTGGCCCTGATGGCATCCCAGCAGAAGTACTGAAAAAATGTGCAGCGGAGTTGTCTCTCGTGCTCACGCGCTTGTACCAATCCTCGTATTCTTTGCGGCGTGTGCTGGAGACTTGGAGAGATGCTAACGTGCAACCGGTGCCCAGAAAAGGGGATCGCTCAGACTCGGCAAACTACCGGCCAATAGCAGTCACCTCAGTTTTATGTAAAGTTCTAGAAAAGGTCCTTAATAACCATCTGACCCGCTACCTAGAGGATCACTCACTGATTAATGATCGTCAATATGGTTTTAGACCGAAACGATCGACGGGTGATCTTCTAGCGTACTTAACACATATCTGGGGTGAGGCTATCGACAAGCGTGGCGAGTCGTTGGCTATCAGCCTTGACATTGCCAAGGCGTTCGACAGGGTCTGGCACAAAAGCCTTCTCTCCAAGCTTCCGGCATACGGTCTGCCAGCCCAGTTCTGTTCTTGGGTAGCTGACTTTCTGCATGAGCGTAGAATTTGTGTCCTTACGGATGGTAGCAGTTCGCGGTTCATGTCAGTGAATGCCGCCGTTCCCCAGGGCTCCGTCCTATCCCCCACTCTCTTTCTGCTGCATATCAATGACTTGATTCCTCTCTCGGGAATATGCATTGCTATGCAGACGATAGTACAGGACATGCGGGGTATCTCGGACAAGCAGCGGCTGGGCAGGCGGTAACCAAGGAGAAACGGGAAAATCTTGTCATTGAACTCAATCAGGCTTTGGACCACATTTCCGAATGGGGTACCAGGAACTTGGTTGAGTTCAATGCCAAGAAAACTCAGGCTTGCGCTTTCACGGCAAAAACATCGTTATTCCTTCCCCTTCCCTCTCTTCAGGGCACAACACTACCGCTACAGAGCAACATTTCCATGCTCGGTATGGAAGTTCGCTTAGACCTGAATCCAAAGGACTACATCGAACCCGTGATCAAAACAGCTTCACGCAAACTCGGAGTCTTGAACAAGGTGCGGCGTTTTTTCACGCCCGATCAACTGTCCTTGTTATATAAAACGCAAGTGCGGTCCTGCGTGGAATATTGCTCGCACCTCTGGGATAGCTCCGCCAAGTACTTACTCGATGCTTTGGATAGGTCACAGCGGCGCGGCGCGCGATCCGCATCATAGGCGATGAGGAGGTGACTAAACACCTTGAGCCTCTTCAATTACGCCGTGACGTGGTGTCACTAAGCGCGTTCTACCGTCTGTATCACGGCGAGTGTTCTGAGGAGTTATTCTCTCTTATCCCACCTTTCCCTTTCCTTTAGAGGACCACGCAAGTCACCGTCTTACTGTGGCCACAATTCCAACGCGTACAAAGAAATTTGGTCAACTCATTTCTTTGTCGCACTATCCGTAAATGGAATGCGCTGCCCACTCACGTGTTCCCTCCCTCTTACAACCTGGGATCCTTTAAAAGAGGCGTGAAGAAGCAACATGCAGGCCGGCAGGGTGAGGATGGCTGGTGTGGCAGGTAGAACTGCTGTATCAGCTATCTTCGCATCTGGACTTCACCTTCACTTAACATCAGGTGGGGTGGAGTCATTTGTCGGACCTATCTATAATATATATATATATAAATAACTAAAATATAACGTAAGTGCTCAACGCATTCGTATTATTGACCAATACATCGTATTTTAATGGTTTAAATATTAAATTATTATTAAAAGCCTCATTTTAACAACTATTTTTTATACTAACATTAACATAAAAATATTTTTTCCAAAAAAAGCGATAAAACTGATTTTGTTACAAAAATGACATAAATATTGTTTAAACAATAAAAAAAAATATTTCCCCCCTCCCAAAGGTTTCTGATTTTAAATATTATAAAAAAAAATGATCAAACTCGAAGCTATTCCACCGGGTTTCCAAGTTTTGCCTATTTTATGTCTTTATTGACTCGACTATTTATTTGTATAGAAATATTTCTTTGTCTGCCAAAGCCGATGCTTTCGCTTCAAAGTCACGACTCGCCTCGCCTCGGGATAAACTTCCGAACGTGCGTGGTGAACTCTCTGTACCCTTACTTACGTCTCTCCGTAGCCTAGCTTACGTCTCTCCGTAGCCTAGCTTACATCTCTCCGTAGCCTAGCTTACGTCTCTCGTGGCCTAGCGCCGAGACGTCGGCAGCCGCGAGCGCAGTGGCGTCGGCAGCCGCAAGCGCAGTGGCGTTGGCAGCCGCGAGCGCAGTGGCGTCCGCAGCCACGAGCGCAGTGGCGTCTGCAGCCGCGAGCGCAGTGGTGTCCGCAGCCGTGAGCGGCGTGCCGTCGGCAGCCGCGAGCGCAGTGGCGTCCGCCGAGGCGAGCGCAGTGGTATCCGTGGCTGCGAGCGCAGCGGCGTCCGCAACCGCGAGTGCAGTGGCGTTCGCAACCGCGAGCGTAGCGGTGTTTGCAGCCACGAAAGCAATACTATCAGTCGCCAGGTACGAAGCCCCACCGTAGATCGGGATAGATGGGTGGTAGCTCACCAAAGCCAGAACCCAACGATTAGCCCGTGTCAATCATTAGAGCCTCCATGTCTTTCGAAAACATTCAATCAAAATTTACAACTAGAAATAGGAGTTAATAGAATTTCGGATTCTAGTACCAGGGGGCCAACCGCCTAACTGGATTGCTTTGGAAAACGCTATCGCTTACGATTTCATTTTGTTATTTCTAACCACCGAAATACCTCACGCTCATTTTCTTTAACATTGTTATTACCAATGCAAAAGAAAAAAAAAGAGCGCGAGGCATTTGAAAACCTCAGGGGGCTAGAAATAACCAAATGAAATCGTAAGCGATAGCGTTTTCCAAAGCAATCCAGTTAGGCGATTGACCCCCAGTTTGAATAATAACGTAACTGCATCTCAATTGATGCAAGTATTACAGTCAATCGGTAGAACTACCAATAACGATAGCTTATCGCACCTTAATACTATCTCTGAATTTGATCCTACTCATAGAGAACAAACTATAGAGATGTGGATACACAAAGTTAATGAATGTTCTGCTATTTATAACTGGACAGATAGGCAAACTATTCATTTTGCCCTTCCTAAGCTTAAAGGTATTGCACAAAAATGGTATCACGGCCTAACTACCGTTATGTATTCTTGGCCCGAATGGCAACACAAACTAAGGTTAGCTTTTCCTAGCAACGACAATTACGGGTTGCTTCTATCAAATATGTTAAATAGACGTGCCAGGTTTCATGAATCGTTAGAGGAGTATTTTTATGAAAAGGTTGTATTGTTGAATCCTTGTAACATTGTAGGCAAAAATGCAGTAGACTGTATAATATTCGGTATTGATGTAGCGGGTCTAGATTCTCCTGATTCTAAATATCATATGCAAGCTCTCGTAAATGGGGTACAAAAATCGTGTTTCGTGGACTTAGGTAGATCTGCTTCCCTTATTAAAGAATCTAACGTAAGTGACATTAAAGTCAAAATAATTAACACGACCACTTTACCTATTCTAAGGGGGTTCAGGGACTCATTCGTTAACCCATTAGGTGTATGTTCAGTCGAGATTGAGATAGATCAAGCTTAGGCTGAAGTGGATCTTCTTGTTGTTCCCGATCATTTATTACAAGAGTCCTTATTGATTGGTAGGTCGTTTACAGAGCAGCCGCATATAATAATATGCGGCTGCTCAGCTAAGACCCCAGATAAATCTAAACTAATTTTGTTTTGCAAAGATAACGTAACTGTAAACGGCTTTACTTTGGTACAGTTCAAGCCTGAACCGTTTTATAACGGCGACTTATACATAGAAGGTAGTAACCGACTTAGGCTAGGTCACGAATATTATTTGGTTCAAGGCGTCTTCTCTGCCGTAGAAGGATGTGGCGTTGCATTGTTACAGGGCTTGTCTAATCAACCATTTATGATACAAAAGGGTGCCATACTAGCGAGGTGTAGACGAGCGAACGTTGTTTCTAAAATTGAACTTAAACATAATGTCCTTTGTATTGATTCTTCTGAGACAAAAACATCTATTACAATAGACGATATTAATAATCTAAGCTCGTTAAGTAAAGATACCATAGGCTCGCTACTACGCCTGCTGAATCAATATCGTAAGTGTTTTCCGTTCAGTTTACAGGAATTAGGTAAAACTAACGTAACCGAGATGTCGATTAATTTAAAGGATGACGAACCAGTAGTGTATAGACCATATCGTTTGCCATTCAGCGAGAGAGCTAAAGTTAGAGAAATGGTCCAGGTATTGATTGATTGTGATATTTTCAGACCGTCGTCGTCATCATATGCTAGTCCGATTGTTATTGTAAAAAAGAAAAATGGCGATGCTAGATTATGTGTAGACTATAGGGCCCTAAATAGGA